AACACTGCCTGGCACTGTGCCATCCTCACAATTGTTATGCTTGAGTCTATTGTTGAAACCAGTGTTTCAATCCATCTAATTGAGGATATTCCGCTTTTTTACTGGCCCTCTACTTTACCTAGCATAATGTCCTTCTCCAAGGAGCTGATCCTTCCTGATAAAATGTCCAGAGTATGTGCGACTTAGTCTTGTCATTCTAGCTTATAAGGAACATACTGACTGTACTTCTTCCAAGACAGATTTGTTCATTCTTCTGGCAGCCCAGAGTATATTCAATATTCTTCACTAACACCATAATGCAAAGGCATTGTTTTAGTCATCTATGCTGCTATAACAGATATACCAAAAGTCGGTGGCTTTAATAAAGATAAATTTATTCTCACAATCTAGGGGGCTAGAAGTCCGAATTCAGTATGCCAGCTCCAGGGAAAGGCTTTCTCTCTCTGTCAGCTCTGGAGGAAGGTCCTTGTCATCAATCTTCCCAGGTCAGGGAGCTTCACAGGGCAAGAATCCCAGGTCCAAATAACGCACTATTTTCCTGACACTACTTTCTTCGTGGTATGAGGTCCCATGTCTCTTTGTTCTCTTCTCTCTTTTATATCTCAAAAGAGATGGACATAAGACAAAACTCAATCTTGTATATTGAGTCCTGCTTAATTAACATAACTGTATCTAATCCTACCTCATCAGCATAATAGAGATAGATTTTGCAACACACAACAAAATCACATCAGATGACAAAATGTTGGACAATCACTCAACACTGGGAATCATGCCCTCACCAAGTTGAAAGACATTTTTGGGGGACACTATTCAATCCGTGACAGGCATCAATTCTTCTCTGGTATTCCTTATTCATTGTCCATCTTTCACATGCATATGAGGCGATTGAAAATACCATGGCTTGGCTCAGGGGCACCTTTGTCCTCAAAGGGACATCTTTGTTTTTTAACACTGTAAAGAATTTTGCAGTAGATTTTCCCATTTCAATAAGTCCTTTGATTTCTTAAATGCTGTTTCCATTGGTGTTGACTGTGGATCCATCTGAAAAGAAATCTTTGACAACTTCAATAATTTCTCAATTTATCTAGAAGTTGCTTATTGGTCCAGTTGTGAGGATTTTTGTTTTATTTATTTTGAGATGTAATCCATACTGAAGGCTGTACTCTTTGATTTTCGCCAGTGAGTGCTTCAAGTCCTTTTAGCTTTCAGCAAGCAAGGTTGAGTCATATGCATATCCCAGCTTGTTAATAAGACTTCTTCCAATAGTGATATCTTGTTCTTATTTATGTAGTGCAGCTTCTCAGATTATTTACACATCATACAGATTGAGTATGTATGGTGAAAGGATACAACCCTGATGCACATCTTTCCTGATGGTAAAACAGGCAGTATACCTTTGTTCAGTTCAAATGACTGCTTCTTTGTCCATGAGTGATACAAAAAAATGAACTATAAAGTTATGACATAAAAAAAAGGCAGCAGCCATACATCCACTAGGATCTTACAGAAATCTAAGCCAGATTCAGAGGAGGACATGTAAGGACAGCTATCATTGTTGATGTCACATTGATCGTGGCCAAAAACAAAGGCTACCAGAAAGGTATTTATCTGAGTTTTATCAACTTCATGAAGGCATTTCACCTTGTGGATCAGAACAGATTATGGATAACATTGCAAAAAATGGGAATTGTAGAACATATAGTTGTGCTCATGTAGGACCTGTCCAATAAAAAACGAAGACAGAATAAGAATTAATGAATTCAATCTGTTATATTGGAAAAGAATATTGAATATATTGTTGACTGCCAGAAGAATGAACAAATCAGCATAAACTGAAATACAACCAGAATGCTCCTTAGAAAAGATGATGGTGAGACTTCTGCTTACTTACATTGGACACATCAGCAGGAAAGAGCAATTTCTCAAAAAGAGCATCATGGTTGGTAAAGTAGAGGTTCAGAAAAAATGAGGCAAACCCTCAGTGAGATAGATTGACATGATATCCCAAAACAATGGGCTCAAACATACTAATAATTAGAAAGATGGCTCAGGACTGGGCAACATTTATTTCTTATATGCATAATGTTGTCATGAATCAGAGCCAGTTAGACAAGTAACAACACTAAGCCATGAAAAAACATAAGTGACCTTAAAAGAAAAGTGCCAGACAGAAAAGATTACATATGATATGATTGTATACATATGACATTCTATAAAATGAAAGATTATAGGTGAGATGTGGTTACAAATATTGGTAGAAATTTGGGAAGAGGGTATTGAATTGATGAAACAAAGGCAATTTTTTAGAGTGGTAAAATAATTCTATACCATATTATCATGGTCGATAAATGACACTTTGTATTTATCAAAACCCATAGAATTTCACAGCTCTTAAGAGTGTACTTTAAAGTGAAAATTTTAAAAATCTTTTAGAATGTCAGAAATCCCAGGATTGGATGCAGGCTAATTAAAAATCTAATAGTATTAAAAATGTATGAGACAGCCTAACTAAAACGGGTAAGGAAGTAGGTGCTAACCTAAGCAATTTTGGAAATGAATGAGACCTGTACAACTAAAGGCTAAAAATGTTGCACATAAGCATTTGACTTCATAAAGTTGTTTCCCACAGGAGTATGGGTTAACAATTCTGAAATCTCTGTGCATTTACACTGTAGTTGAGCAATTAAGTAAATGAATGTAATATGGTGGAAGCCTACCTGAAAGAGCCCTCAATGGCTAAAAATCTGGTAAATTTTGAACAACAAAATAAGTAATATAGTGTTGGATTTCAACATAAAATATGAAATGAATACCTCTGAGCCCTTACCGTTATCAATAAATTATTGAATAAATAAAACAAATGTAGGATAAGGGAAAAATATATCATAAATAAGAATTCCAAATGACATAAGTATAGATACCCCTTCAAAAATATAGAACTTATAAAGTTACAATTTCAACTCACTTGAGTTAATATCTAGGAGCATGATTGCTGGATTATATGGTAGGTCAATGTTTAACTTTGTAAGATACTGCCAGACTGTTTTCTAAAATGTCTGTAAAATTTATGATTCCCATCAGTGATAAAAAAAAGTTCCTTTGACTCCACATCCTCACCAGCCTTTGGTTTTATCAGTATTTTGAATCAAAGCTATTTTAATAGACTTGTATTGGTAACAATATTTTAATCTTCAACTCCTTAATAACATATGTAGCCCTGGTGGAGCAGTGGTTAAGAACTTGGGTGCTAACCAAAAGGCTAACAGTTTGAATATGCCAGTCGCTCCGTGGAAACCCTATGGGGCAGCTCTACTCTCTCCTCTACGGTGGTTATGAGTCGGAATAGACTCTACAGCAATGAGTTTTGTTTCTTTAATAACATACGGTGTTGACAATTTTCATATGTTTACTTACCACCTTTAGTGACATAATCCTTTCAGATTTTTTCCCCAATTTTCTAATTGGGTTGTCAGCTTTTTTATTGTTGTGTTTTTAGAGTGTGTTTCATATTTTGGATATAAGTTCTTTAGCACAGTGGACTTTTACAAATATTTTCCCCCATTGTGCCATTTGTCTTTTCATTCTCTTAATAGTGTCTTTCACAGAGCATACATTTAAATTTTAATAAATTTTTACTTTTTCATTTATTTTCTGTTGTTGATCATGCTCTTGGTGTTGTATATAAAAAGTTATTATATATAAAAAAGACTTGGAGTTAGGAAACCAAAAGGGAAGACCATACTTGACATTTCTAAAGCTGAAAGAATTAAAGGAAAAGTTCAAGACTGGAGTTAAAATACTGAAGAATTCTATGGGTAAAAAATTGGTCGATGCTGAAAACATCAAAAGATGAAAGAAATTTAGAGAGTCACTGTGCCAAAAAGATTTTCTCAGTGTTCAATAATTTCAAGAGGTAGCATATGAACAAGAACCAATGGTACTGAATAACATAGTCCAAGATACAGTGAAGGAATTGCTGAAAAACAAGACTCCATAAATTGATAGGGTACAAATTGAGATGTTTCAACAATCAGATGAAACATTGGAAGGGATCACTCGTGTGTGCCAAGAAATTTTAAAATTAGCTATCTGGCCAACCCGCTGGAAGAGATCCATATTCATTCCCATTCCAAAAAAAGGTGATTCAGTGGAATGGAGAAATTATTGAATAATGTCATTAATATCACATGCAAGGAAAATTTTCCTGAAAGTAATTAAAAAACGGCTGAAGCCAACAAAGGTAGAAGTCTACCGTAATTGAAGCCTTATTCAGAAAAGGATGTGGGATGAGGATATATCCTTGTTGATGTCCGAAGGATCTTGGCTAAAAGCAGAGAATACCATAAAGATACTTAACCTGTTTTTTTTGTTTTTTTGTTTTTTTTTTATGTACTATACAATTAACTGTGTGGACCATAACAACTTATGGATAACATTGAAAAGAATGGGAATTCCAAAACACTTAACTGTGCTCTTGAAGAAACTGTGCACAGCAAAAGAGGCAGTTGTTTAAACAGAACAAGGTGATACTGTGTGGTTTAAAGTTAGGAAAGGTGTGTTTAAATGTTGTATCCTTTCACCATACTTATTCTATCTATATGCTGGACAAATAATCTGAGAAACTGGACTATATGAAGAAGAACGTGAGGCAGAGCCAACCTGGCACTATAGACAGAAGCTCCATGCCATCCCTCCACAGCAAATACCCCAAAATCTAAGTAAAACACAGACAAACATCAATCCTGAAACCCTAAGCATCAAATGAAGAGACAAAAAAAAACTCAGCAAAGCACTGAATATAATAGGAATCTGACAGAGAACAGAGAGCAAGGAGAGATACAAGTGGAGGCCCCCTATCACCTAACACAGTGCGGTTTTGCTGGCTTGGACTCCTGTGGAGATCGGCGGACAGGAGAATGGGAAAGTAGCTTCACAGTGCTCCCAGCAGGAGACAGAGCACCTGGTAACCAGTGCTATACACTTTCCCACCTCCACACCCTTCTTCCCACTCCTCAGTCTCCACTGCTTCCCAGCTGGCCGCAGTCTCTCGGCTGGGAGGTCCTGGCTCTGTGATGTTTGGATTCACCACGCCCTCAATGGCCAGCTCCCTCAGTGCCATTTCTCCATTGCTTGCGTTGCTTTTTTCTGCTTCTTTTGGTTTCTTCCCTGCCTCTCACCTCTTCCCCCTCCTTTCTCTCAAACACCTAGCTCCGTGTTCCCTCTTTACTTCTTCTTGACAGGTTGTGAAGCACCTCTCTGCTGGGGAACTGCCTCCCTGGTCAGCACTGCCATGCTGGTGAGAACCCCCAGGACTTTTTTGTTTGTTTTATTTTTCTTTTAGTGGCTTGGTAGCCCCTTCTAGCAAGGCTGTACTGTGTAGCTTGGGAGCCATTTTCCTAGTCTGTGCAACCACGCCAGTGGGATCCCTGGGATCATTTCTTTCTTTCTTTTTTGTTTGTTTCTTTTTTCCTGTTTGTCTTTCTTCATTTCTTAGTTTCTCTTCTTTCTATAGTTACCTTCTTTTCCTATCTCCTGAATACCTGGTGCTGTAGGCCATCTGTGCCCCTTATGGCCAGGCTGTATTGTGTGGTTGGGGAAAATGTCCTAGAACTACCTGACAAGAAATTTAAATCTCTAATATTCAGAGCTATCCAAAAGTTGAATCAAGAAGCAGACAAAAATAAGGAATCTGAGGATTATATCAGTCTTTTATGTCCCTGGTGGTTAATTCTTACGTATTTTGTTGATTTGGGGTCTATTGTAAATGGTATTTTCTTCTCAATTCCTTTCTCTGAGTAGTCTTTTTCTTTTGGGGTCCATCCTATATAGGGCTCATTGAGCTTCTTGAATAGTCAGTTCTTCATCTTTCATGATATTAGGGAAGTTTTCTGTCAGCAATTTTTCAATGATCTTCTCAGTTATCCAGATACTGGGGGGATATTTTTGTGAGGACAAAAACCCCTCAAGAAATGACTAAAAATATTCTATAGGAAAAGAAATTATGATATAAACCAGAAACTTGAACTTACACAAAGTGTCAAAAATGTAATAAATAAAGGTTATATTGAATATTTTATTATTTTCCTTGCTCTAAAGGATAATTCTTAAAACAATAATAATAGTCATGTATTGTCTGTTTGTAGTATATGCAAAAGTGAATGGATCAACAAAGAGACAAGAAATGGGAAAGAAGAATTGGAAATTGTGGAAGAGGTAGTTCAAGTGCAGTCTGCCACCTTCCACTGTGGTCCACAGTTGAATCTTGTGCTTAGGACCAGATGTGTCAGCGTGGCTTCTTGGCTAGGATGAGCATGTGAGCTGTTGCCATGAGCATATTTTAACATTACCAGAAACTTTTTATGCGTGCATGCCACATGGAGCCTAGACAAAACCATTTCTATATGTATTACTCATGGAGAAAATGGTGTCCTTCAACTGCAGCACAAAAAAAAGAGGGTATTGGCTGCAGAGTGAGACCTCCTGGCTATGGTAGACCAACATTCACTATTTAGAAGCTGATGGTTCTCTGTCTCTTCTCTATGTGAGTAAAACTTTTTTCCATCAAATGCCGGTCTGTAAATTGTGCTTTTGTGGTGACCTCAGATAATGACACAACAGAAATGTACTGTTATAATGTCCTAATACACCAGAAGGGGTATAATAAAATTCAAGACACTGTAAGATTATTTAAAAAGGAAAACGCATATTATAAAATGTAAGGTAGTCAATAAAATGGTATTAAAATAAAATAATTACTATGTCAATAAAGCAGTGAAAAATTGTATAAAAATGCTAAATTAAAAGGAGAGGTAGCAGAAAAAGAGAAAAAAAGAATCAAAGGAATTACAATATATATATAATACAACTCACAAATTGGCAGATTTTAATCCAAGTATAGCAATAAAAATGTTTAAATGGAAATAGTAAAATGAAAAAAGTGATTGACATTTTGGATAGAAGATTAAAACAAACAATATGTTATTTATAAGAAAGTCACTTTAAATATATGTATGTAGAAAGGTTAAAAATAAAGTATGGATAAGTATATACCATGAAAATACAGACCAAGAGAAATCTGGAGTAGCAATATTATTTTGAGACAGACTAGACTTTCAAATAAAAAATGAATCTTAGGGGTAAGAGGGACATAAAATAAAAATAAAGTTGTCAACTCACAAGAGGTATAACAGTTCTAATTAATGGAACTGAAAAAAGAAACAAATTCTCATTGTATTTGGATACTCCAACACTCCTCCCTCTGTGTTTGATAGAACAAGAAGAAAGAAAATAAGTACATACAAATATATATATACAAAGAGGTATAAATATATATATATGCACAAACACATACATAAGTAAACATAGATATACCTACATATATACATACATATGTATATATATGTATATATACATATA